TCTACTTTTGAACAATGTTACCTTTAGTCTCTACACTTCCAATTAATTCTAATTAACCCGAAATTAATTCTAATTAAATTTTTTTATTAATTCGAAATTAATAATTACAATTTCTAATTAATATATTAATCATATAATATATTAATAAATTATCCTCTCTCTCAAAATGTGATTCTTCTTAGTTGCTAGTTCTGAGGGCAACGCAAAAATGACTTTGCTTTAATTTCAAGAATATACCAAGTTATTGGCTTATATACCTTAAATCAACAAAAATAAGGGGGAAAAGTGCAAACGATGACTCACAATAAACTTGTTTCAAGTTAAAATCACAAGATGATCCTTCACATAGGCTGAAAACATTCAAATTTCGACATTACCAAAATTAGGGCTTGCAAGGTTAGAAGCTTTATAGTGAAGATGGAGGAAAAGGAGAGGGTTTTGAACTTCTGGTTCTTGCTTGGGAAGGTGAAGAAGAACGAAGGGAATAATTTTCTTGGTAAACATAATCGTGAGGGATGATGTTTGATATGACAGACTATAACTAGGCTAATTAAATGGCGGCAATTGAAGGAGCTACGTAAAATGACGAAAATACCTCATAATCTATGAATGTGATGGGCATTAGATGGCAGTGACCGACGACATCTGATAGAGGGACGGAGTTTGTAATATCCAAATAACAAAAGTACCAATTTTTTACATTTTATTAAACTTGGACTATAGGTTCCTATTATGTCATACGATAGAGACCATTTTTGTAATTTTCTCAAAATATAATAATATTTTGTCTATTTTATCTTGTTTTATTGAATACCCGAAAACAATTCGACAAGAGAAAATAACTTCTATCTATATTTTATTCTTATAAGTGCATAATCTTGTTCCATAATCCTTAAAAAACCCACCGCATTTCAGCCTTGCTGTCTGACTTTGTAATTCTATAAGTTTGTTTAGGTATTTTTCTTTTTAATTTTTCAAATAAAAAAAGCTAGTTGTGTACAGGCGTCTTGCTCCTAGTCGGAGTGTAATCCATTACATCAGTGTCGTTCGGATAAGGCTCGCTGGCGACGTCCTTCTCATTCTTCGACGAACTAAACAATAAGTTATATTCCTGTCCCATTGATCGGTGAACATATTTCATCATTTGTTTTGGGTCACACTTATTTCCATCATTGAGTACAAAAACAAAATAGTTTACTTTAAGACAAAAATGTAAAAACAGTCTCTATGGTATCTATTTTTTCTGAGGTTTGGTTAAAACCTCGACTTTTTTGGATTGTTGGTCATTTTGGCCTAGTTTCGATGCGTATTAGGTAGAGCTGACAAAAATCGATCCAACCCGAACCCAACCCAAAATTAGTGGGTTGGGTTGAGATTTTCAACCCATTTAACTTAAATGGGTTAATCCGTCTAGCCCATTTAATTAAACAGATTGGGTTGAGTAAAAATTATCAACCCGTTTTCAACCCGTCAACCCATTTAACTTTATATATATATATATATATATATATATATATATATATATATATATATATATTATATATATATATATATATATATATATATGTTTAATTTAATATTATTTGAATATTATCATGTATTAATCAAAGTATTAATTTGTAAATTATAATGTTGCATTATTATTATCTATGTTTAAACAAATTCAATCTTAATTTCCATCCTTTTTTTAGCGCCGATAATACTGGTCACTCTCCAAAATAACTATGAAACTAAACATTTTTAATGTTATTTGAAAAATTTATTTGTATTTATGAATTAAGATTGTGTTTTTGTCATAATTATGAAGTTTTATTTACGTTTTATAATTTACGTGGTATAATATTTAATTATATAATTTATTTAATTGATTTTAAATGGATTAACCCAAGTTTATTCCATTAATTTAATAGGTTAGGTCGGGAACTACATAAAAAGGTTAACCCAATGACAACCCATTTATCTAAAATGTTGGGTTGGATTGGAAATATCAACTCATTTAAATAAACATGTTGAGTTGGGTTGAAATTTTCAACCTAATTATTAAATGGGTTGAACCTGAACCCAACCCAGGTCGACCCATTGACACCTCTAGTATTAGGTCCCTCGGTAAACTGAAATGATTGTAATGCCCCTTATGTATTTACTTTTCATTTTTCTTTCATTTTTTTTAAATTTAATATATATTTATCTATTTTAATAATTAATAAATAAAGAGAGGACTCTCTCTCTCTCTCTCTCTCTCTCTTGGTTCTGTGGTTGATTTAGAAGCAACTTTTCTTAAATCTTTAAGACTTTGTATTGTGAAGCTCTTCAAACTTGAAGGATCCGATTGGCTGTTTCAACAGAACAATGGTCTTGACGAAGACCTTGTTGACCATGTACCCCTAGGGAGCGGTTCCTTTATGAAGTTAATAGTAAGGAGATGAACGGGGCGGCTCACGTGGTGATTTGGGGATGAAAATCGTGATGGGTTTTGAGCACTACATCAATCCTATGGTGTACATGCAAACCCTAAAGCTTTGGATCTAGTTTGTCTAATGAACATGCAATAATCATCCAAAGCCATAAACCCTAGATCTAGCATACAATAAACGATTTAACATATGAATAAGGGTTTAGATCTTACCTTTGATTGTTATGTAGCAATAACAATCTATTCCTTCTTGTAATTTACTTCTGAAAGCTTAGTGTCACAAGTGTCACACCTCTAATGGCTCACAAACACCAAGAGCAAGAGGATGACTTAGGAGAGGAGAAGGAGGCACCAAAAACGTCCAAGAAACTCCAAGGAATGCTTAGCCACGTTTTTGGGTGCCCTGGGGTTCCTTTTATACTTGTGTGGGCTGTTAGGGTTTTCAGGGGAAACCCTAATTCTCTGCTTAGGCCTTAAGCAACTCATGGAGTCCCTTTAGAAAGCCCTTGGATGAAATCCATATGGGCTTCCCATAGATTTCGTCCAATCCTCTTTCCAATAGGAATCCATAGCCCACAATTCAATTATCTTATAATTACAATATTAGTCCCCAAAGTTTAAGTAATCTCTTTTAGCCACAAAATTAATTCTTGACTAATATTAATTAAACAATATGATTTCTCTTTTAATATATTATTCACATAATATATTAATAAATCATAATTAAACTCTTTCTCCATAAACCATCCTATCAAGTTGCTTTGGTGAAGGCAACCCAAAAGGACCATGCTCACAATCGGGTCAAGTACATACCAAAATAATTGTGGACTTAGACACTAATCCAACAAACTGATCTGTTGACCTCGATTCCCAATTGTGGGGAAGGTTGTGTCTGGAAGGTTGATTTGATAACAAGCTTTGGCGTGTGGTGCACACATAGGGTTCTTGAGCTTTAGCTCATGGAAAGTCGACTGGAGCTTTGGGGGAAATACACTTACGTTCTTAATCGACTTCAGGTAACATTTTCTTTTATCCTCGATGATCGGATTTTGTGTTGGATCATATTTTTGAGTTTATTGTTGTGTGATTGTTTTAGGGTATACTGGAGTTGGCGTTCTCTAAACCACGGGCAACGATGAACCCATGTTTCCGTTTTCAATTTTCGACTCCCTATCGGCAGCGATACCACAGGGACCATATTTGGTTGATGTTTGTTCTATGTGTTCCAATCAACGGCCTTTACTTCAATCTATGGATGGGTTTCTTTATTTTGCTCAGTTTGGTAGCTTAATTTCAGATTATGGAGGTTGACGCCCCTTAAATTAGGTGGGTATCGTTTGGGTATCAGATGATTTTTCATTGCTTTTATCTAGGTTGCATCGAGATTGCAGGCGGAGGGTGGATCTGGTCTTCTTCTCCGATTGGAATTGGATCTACCATCGATGTTGTAACACGAGAGTGGAGGAACAGTTAGGAATTGATTCAAGAAAGAAATAACGTGAAACACACACCAGTAGACAAGTTACACACACATACACCTACCTCTATTATTTGTTTCTTGTTTACTTGATGTTGTGAATCAATCAAGTGCGTGGGAAGGCCACCAACGCATAGCAGACTGCGAAGAATAGAGAAGTAGCAGGTGGCTATCGTTTAGGGATGAATTAATTTGTTATGCCATATATTTTTGTTTGATTTTGGATTTTTAAGATCTATCAATGGAGAGAGAGAGAGAGAGAGAGAGAGAGAGAGAGAGAGAGAGAGAGAGAGAGAGAGAGAGAGAGAGAGAGAGAGAGCCCTTTCTCTTTTTAATTATTAAAATGAATAAATAATTATTAAAACTTAAAAAAAATGATTTTAGAAATAGAAAAGAAATACCCAAGGGTATTAAAGTCATTTCAGTTATCCGAGGGACCAAATCCGCAATAAAACTAGCTCAAAAGGACCGTAAAGCCAAAAAAATCGGGGTTTAGACTTAAGCCCCAAAAAAAAAAAAAATACATACCATAGTGACCAGTTTTGCAATTTTGTCTTACTTTAAATGAAAAGAGAAAAATCTTTTATTTCGGCTTTCTTTACCCTTGAATCTGAATAATGACGTCGTTTTGGATATTTAAAAAAACCAAAATGGGGTGGTGGTGCTAGAAGATGTAATTTTTCTCATATTTTTTCTGTTTTTTCTTGCAAATAAATGTAAAAAAAAACTTAAGAAATACACAAGATGATTCGTAAAACACTATATATCATGCCACTGATGTAAGATTTTCCCAGAATCAACTAATTAAGAAGGTTAAAGAAGCTTATATATGAAGTTAATCGGCCTTTGGCCAACTGTTGCTCCAGTATTTTCGCATACGAAGTGAAGGGTTTTAAATCCTTAGATCAAAACCCAACTTCAATTCTATGTCAGTTTCTTATCATCTATTACAATAGTAGTATCAGCTCGTTAGTCTAACATACTCTAGTATGTTAGCAAAAATATGAATGACAGATGTTTCTGATATGTTGATATCACATGTGCTTATGCAATCGTTGTAACAAAATTTGAAAGATGATCAATGAGCAACACACACTAAGATATGATTTCTCAATGGTGTCTTGGGCGATGATGATTGGGGCCGTAGTAGTCTTCATGAATCTTTGGTAACCAATGGTCACGATGAGAGTTCTTGGTTCCTACCCTAGAAGATAATCTTCTGTTCTTTAATGTGGTACCTGATGGAAGTGCATCAGTTTTGAGTGTCAATTCATGATCTTGATCATTGCTTCCTTTTAATGATAACATCTGTAACAAACGAGGAAAATATCATGTACCACTGAAAAAAAAATGCTCTTATATTTGCACTGAATCATGATAAAGATACCGACCTTTATGATTTCATGATAGCTGCTAATTGGTAAAGTGACTTTTCCCAGTCTTATGCCTTCATAAGATAAAAAAGAAATATATTAGTCAAAAATACCCCAAGGGAATTAATCTTTTGCAGCCAATGTAAAGAGATAATCAAGTGTTCTTGGATCTTTGATGTTACAATTTTGAAATGCAAAAATGGTGTTGGATAACATGGTTTTAACATGGTCGTGGACATACCTTCAACTTCATAAGTATGGAGGTTTGACAGAAGAAACACAGCAAATATCAGATAAAGCTTCATGTTCTGTGGCTGCAGAATACAAATTTCAGCTGTTGACAGATTCTGAATATCCAAACTTGAGTAACAAAATTGTGGCTTCTTAATTTCTCTCTAGATTCTTAAGTAAGTAATTAACGAATTGAAGGGACGAAACTGAGAACGGTTTGTAGGAGGGGAATATCTCAACTTATTTATACAGACAATGGTTAGGGACCCACGCCATATTGCTAACCAGCTAGGATCTTGGTACTGTTTTCACCTATTTCTTTAGTGGCTTGCAAGTTATGTAACTCCATTAATTGTATATTAAATAAGTTGGGGTTCAAACAAAAGGTCATCATCATGGAAGGAGGGAACAAAACAGTAGGGTTTCCATTTTCTCGAAAACTAGTTGGAAGATATTGGGAGAGAGAATTATACCCTACTTTTAGAGGTCATTGCATGACTTCATTCCTCTTTTAGGGTATGATGTCCCCTTAAAGAGGTTTCTGAATATCGACATTATATTTCTTTAATGACCGGATGCTATAACATACACACATACGACAACTATACTTCTTGTCAACGAATTGAATGCCACCATTTGTTCACATCTCCTTCATCAAAATAAGCTTTTTATGCTTATTTGTCTCGCTGCTTTTCTTTGGCAATTATAGTATATCGTGGGCAGGGTCGGTCCTGAAGATTCAAATGCTCTGGACGAGCCGGAAAAAAAAGCCCTTAGGTCTTAATGTGGAACGAATTAAATTACATAAACTGTTACACAGCGATAAACTTTATAGCAATAAAAATAGCAAAATCATAGTATTTTAATGAGTATCGATTAGCTATTCCGGACCGGATATTTTATACTACAATTTCACTAAATATATAAATATTGTAATAAAATGAAGATTTTAAAGGTTAGTTTGGTCATTGGTAAAATGCGACAAAAATCTACTCTTCTCCTTCAACCCTTCAATCATTCCCTATTGATAATTAGAAACCCTCACTATCATTATCTTTTTGGAAGTCATTATAAATTAGTGAAACAAATGGGTGCATAATGTATTAAAACTCAATAAAAGTAATTAATCTTTTAAAAAATTACTTAATAATTTAATAGAATATCACATGAAAAATCTTGCAATCTTGTTCTTAGTGGATGCAAAAAAAAAAAAGGCACGAGAATTTAGTGGAAGCACACAAAGGAAGTTAACCCAATTAAAAAGGCACGCACTTGAACAACGAAGGGATTCGAACACGGATAATTTGTATTAACTTAAGAAAACAGAAGCACACTTACCATTTGAACCATAAGAAATTTATGTTTTTGTTTGAACGATTTATTATTTATATAAATATTAAATAGACAACATGACCAAATCTCGGGCCTTATTTTTTCTGGCCCTGTGCGACTGCCCACCTTGCCCCCCTCAAATCCGGCCCTGATCTTGGGAAGCTTTCCATGACGGCCCAAGGTTGCATGCTCTCAACACAATTTGAGTTTAATAATTTGGAGACTAGTGGGCTTTTAGATATATATGGGTCGTCTTAACATACCTTTAGATGTGTAATTGTGTAGTTTGTAATACCTTAGAAAATATGGTATTTGGGTGTACTCGAATTAGTATCCATTTTGGTTTAAAAAAGGAATGAAATTTCATAATTAAAGTACACGTTTTAAAAAGTTCTATATTATGCTTAAAGGAGTTGTACGTTATGCATTGGCTGAGCTAATATAGGGGAAGGCGGTGTTGCACCCCGCCTAATCTCTCCAAATCATGAGCTAACAATTAAGCTTAGAGGACCCCCAATGGGAAAGTTGAATGATATGACAAGTTTAGGTGTCATTCAATGAATGAAACTTTACCGTTGTGAGATACCACCTTGACATTTAATGCATTTGGAGTTAAATGGCCACTGAACTCTTCAAGTGGAAAAAAAACTTTTTAATTCTTAAATATATACTATAAATTACCTTTTGTAATATTCTATTGAACTTTGTAGAATTCAATGCATTGTAGAAATAAAATGATGGAGTTCAATGCATTGAACTTTGAGTAATATTCTACAAACAGTCATACAGATCTAACAGATCACTAATCATAACATCATCCTATATACCAGGATACAGATCTAACATATCACTAAACATAGTACCATCCTATATACCAGGATATAGATCTAACAGATCACTAAACATAGCATCATACGATAACCAGGATAACAATCCAAAAAGGGACAGCCTTGGTGCCTTCGACCCTGTTAGCATAGTGAGGAAAACTCACCTCACAAGTAGTGCTGAATTGAACTTAAAGTCTTCGACCGCTGTCTCACTGAAAATACCGAACTATCCGAAATAACAAATACTAAGTCAACAGTTGGAATATCAATCATGACCAAGGGTCCAAACATAGGGTATTAGTCCATTCTATCCTTTCCTTAAGTTGGGCCAAGGCCCAAATCCAATTCCTTAATCCAAAAGCCCAATGGCCCATAATTGGCTCAATTTTCCAAATTGGGCCCAACTCTCTAATTGGGCCTCATCCTAAGATCCACTTCCAAAATTGGCCCAAAACACTTTTATTCAGAAAGTCTAGTAAGGGCCCAAGCCAAACTGGCCCAAAGGTGACCCAAATCCGAAGCCCAACTCGCAAAAACCCATCAGAGGGTGTATGCTGGGCGTACTCCGAAGCTACGCGGGGCGTACGCGAGCCTCGCATTGTATGGAAAATGGGGGCGTTGACTGCGTACACGGGGCGTACTGCTCTCTACGCGGGGCGTACCTTCGTTGCACTTAAAACTCCAATAAGTGCTTAATGGCTTAAGCACTTAAGCCCAAATTACAGATCCATCGACCAAATGTGTCTTAGAACCATAAAGTCTCAAACTTTAAGACTTTGAACGTCCAGAAAGTCCTTAATGCAAGGTCTTAATCCATCAAGACCTTTCTACCACTTGCATGGGACACTTCTAGCCATTGGGACCTCATTTTTATCACTTAGAACCCTTCCTAGGGTCAGAAAGGACAGCTTAACATGTCCAAAACATAACATGAACAGTATTGGGAGTTTTTGGGACAAGAAGAGTGTCATAAAGCTATCAAGGCAAGATCTACATCATACAAGCATAAAGGAAGAAGCTTTTTACCTCCTGGAGCTTCTAGAGGACAAGATAATCTCATATCTTCAAGCTTGCCTCACTTCTCCAACACCTTGATGCAACTTCTTCTTCTTCAACTACTCAAAACACACACTTTTAGCTCATACACTTAAGAGAGAGGTTAGGGTTTGGGGAAAACGGCTCAAAACTGTGGAGGCTGAAATGGTAGAGGGTTATGAGCGTATAAGGATACTTATATACCATCCAAACCCTAAATATTAGGGTTTTACCCTGACGTGAGTATGCCCAGCATACTAGGGCCTGCCTAGTATGCTCAACGTACCCTTATGTACGCTTAGCATACTCCTCCTGATCCAAAGTTGCAACTTTAGCCATTAGGGAATTTCATGGCTCCACCCTTCCATCCCTAAGGACTAAAAATGACAAGGATAATAATAAAGGGAGGATTCGATGCAAATTCCGGGATGTTACACTTTTTATTTCTATTTTCTTAGTATTAAACACACTTAAATTCTTAAAATAGGGATTTACTGTTCAAAAATGACTTTCAGTAATTTTTTCCAGACTATGTACATTGTCAAGCAGTTACACAAAAATTCTAAGAATTTTTCATGATCATTTATTATTTTTTCATGATTTTGTGATTATTCAAGGAATTAAAATGGTGAAAAATAGTTAGGGAATTCAAAAATTCAAAAAAATTTATCTTAAGATCTTTGACTTCAGTTGAAACTGAAATACAAAGTTTGGGAAATTTTAGAACTAAATTGATTTAGTTTTTGAATATTTAATCATTGGAATACCTCCTAAAATGTTAAAATTTAACATTTCAATAATGAGAATTTCCACTTGAATTTGTTATTTAACAAATTGATTCATAGAAATCTAAATTTCACAGACAAATGTTTGTAACTTAACAATATTAAATTTTGACACAATATTTGCATAATTCTATTGTAGTAGTAAGTATACTAGTATTAGATTTCGATTAGAAACTCATTAGTGTGTAACATCGTTGTAGGAATCGATAGTGGTACGAGTGGAGCGTAGTTCAAGGCGCCATTTTCATTATCTCAAAGCATTGTGAGTATTCACGCCTCCCCTATTTTTGGTTTTTATGTTTTGGGGTGGAAAAGCATGTCCGAAAAACTATTTATTGTTTGTTGTATTTAAATTGATTTGTATCAAACTTGATTGCTATATTTTGCTATGTATGTCAATGCAACTTGAAACATGAGGCCTTATCGTCTTTAGTCCCTTCCATTATACTCCAACCATTAACTCTTTGAGCCAATGGTCATTATGGATAACGCTATTAGGAATTGACAACTCCTCACTCACCCGATTTCTTGAGTGCATGATACCATATTCTTCTATGGAACGATAAGCACAGATCTTGATAGGGAATCAGTCATAGGTTTGGTTGTAAACTCATTGTTTGCTCATATACGTACAAACTAGCTTACTTCTTATAGCAATGAACTTTTATTACTGGAAACTTATTTACTTGTCTTAGCAATGAACTTGTTTGCTCTTTGTAGCAACGAGCTTGTTTGCTCTTTGTAGCAGTGAAACTGTTTACTCATTTGAGTAACGAACTTTGTTTCTCATATTAGCAACAAACTTCTATTTATGGAAACTTTATTACTCATTTTAGCAATGAACTTGTTTACTCTTTATAGCAACGAACTTTTTTTCTCATGCTAGTAAGGAACTTCTATTCATGAAAACTTATTTACTTATTTTAGCAACTAACATTCGTTTATGGAAACTATTATCAATATTATGATTTTCATGACTTCAAACTATATTATGTTATAAACATGTGAGTACTCACCAACTATTTCGGTAGTTGACCGCTCATTTTACATGCTTTTTCAAGATCTCGTCTATAAGATGGCACTTAGGGACACATC